TCCAGCATTTTAATGATGTACAACATGCAAACAATTCTGTGTATTTCATGACCAAATAAAACTTCAAAACTTCACCATCACTTGTAAGATTTGAAGTTTACACAGCGGTGAATCCGAAGATGGCTGTCTTCTGGATTGTTGCGCTGTGTAGTCTGGTCGATCAATGTTCATCACCCTGATGACGGAGGCAGTATGGCCCCTGAAACGTTGGTAAACATCGACCAGACTACACAGCGCAACAACCCAGAAGACAGAAATCTTCATACTCATCGCCCTGATGACGGAGGCAGTATGACCTCTGAAACGTTGGTAAACATCGACCAGACTACACAACGCAACAACCCAGAAGACAGAAATCTTCATACTCGCTTGTAGCACAGAGTACGTGAGTTAATCGCAAACAGCCGGGAGATGTAACAAAATAATTCATTTTAAATTGGAAACTTGAAAAAAGAAACTACATTGAAGACATGGGCGTAGATAGGGAAATATTAACATTAATTTTAAGAACAAAATGTGCGAATATGTTGACAGATTTATCAGGCTCTAGACAAAGTCCAGTAGTGGTCTTACGTTAACTTGGCAATGGCGAGGAACCATTGATAATTTTCTGGCCAATCGAGGAGCTTATCACTTCGCGAGGATTCATGGGGTAAGCTAGATGGTTAGTTACTTAGTCTATCATTTACTCATTTATTACAACTTACTTCATGTGAAGTGAAGAAATCTGATACTTCTAATGTCGCTTTTATAGCTTTTAGCCTCTGTATGTATTTTGGCTGAAAAAAGAAGGAATAAATATTTAAATATTGAATAATTATTACAAGTGCAATTCACACAAATTAAGTTGCACTTTAGATCAGAAGTGTACTAATGCACACTCCTGGGATGCGTGCTGACGGTTCCTTCAGTGTGAATTGTGCCTTACATTCGAGGATGTGACAGAGAGTACACATTTCAGTATTTCCACCGACGTTCTTTATTTTCCTTTCAATGTGAATTTATCCTACAGAATGTAAGAATGCAGCCAGTAAACACATTCCTCTTATGTATGATTTGAGGTTTTCACAGCGGCGAGTACGAAGAGCTTTACAGATATTCTGCGGCGGTACATGCCACTAAATGTGGGGACCGTTAACGACGTCTCGGAACGAGCAAGTGACCCAAATACATTCTACAGTAACGCTTACCACTGCATGTGGGAAACCATTGGTGAAGTCTTGGAATGCCTGCATGATCTGTTCCCTTGTCTTGGTAGTCTTAAAATCCTTGCTGGATTTTCCGTCACTCTTCTTGATTCCCTCGATACGGAAACCAAGCGTCGCCGTCGATGAAATCGTCTCTCTCCACACCATGTATCTGAACACACAAACAGTTTACTTAATAGAGTGAGACTTGCTTGAAACAGGTTCTGAATTGTCACATACATTCTCTTTTATTCGAGACGGATATTAAATAACACATGAAAGTACTACACTGGTCATATTCTATATATTTATGATGATAATATTATATGTCGGACATTCACGCTACATTCTCGTTTATATTTAAAAAGTCAGACAAAAGCACAGGACACAGCATAAATTTTTAATCCATATTATTTGATATTTTCAGTGTCAATTCAGAAAGGGAATCAAACGCGGGACACTCACCTTGGTTTTGTGACACCCTTCAGTCTGTGTTCCTCTTCAGTCGGTGCATTCGGATCAATCTGAATCATCTTCTCGTACATGTCCTGTAAACGTCAGACAAAAGTGACTGCTAAGAATCCTTTAATTTATTTTTCTGAAGTTTGTGAATATTCCTTTCTGCCTCCTGATGCCACCTTCAATGCTGTCTGCAATTTTCTTATAAATTATTATTATTTATTTACTGCAATTGGGTTTGCATCTGGTAGCAGTCGTCCTTACACTACAAAGTACCCACAGCCCTCGTGATTTTAGATTATCAATGTTATGGCTTCTTCCTACAAAATATAATATGCAGAGGCAGTCCGTCATCCGTCCCGCGTGTAAGACTTATTTCCGAAAATACTGAACACATTTAGGTTCAGTCTGGTGTCTGGGGGGTCAGACTTAAAATGTAAAAAATTAAATTTTGGTTTGATATAACCGATACTGTGCATCAATAACACATAGAAATGTATTGCTTTTCTCAAAAATGGCTCTTCAAATACAAAGTCTGGTCATATCACAAATTACAGATGTGGCCAGTGAAACATTTTTCGGCACGAGGAAATAATATTTTGTACTTCATGCAGTGCATATCCACGAAACGATTACCTTTTAAATAATAAATCTGCAATAAAGAAACATCACTGCTAATGAGGTACGTAGAATAGCAAATTTTTTTTTTCAAAATGTATCTACACCTAATTCTCTCGTCCTGGCTGACTAACGAATAAAATTACAGTAGTGCCAACCTTTCTGAGTTTTGGTTTTTCCTTTGCCTTGGCGAGCTCCTCCTCAAGGTAAGTCCGGACACCAATCTTGCAGTCCATGACGCACGGCGATGTGAAGTCCCCTAGCAAGTCCTGTAGCTGCAGGTACACGGCTGTGGTAGCGTTAAGGAATTGTTTCCCTACCACAAGATCACTCCTTGGCTCACTGTGATTTACAGTTACCTGGCAAACATCGCGGTCTCCTGGGTCATTATGCCGGGCTACGTATCAAAGTTTCAATCCTGAAGATGGAAGCAGTATATTCTTTCGAAACAATGACACGTAACAAAAAAGCTACATGACGTAAAACTGAAGATGTATCCGACAGATAATTACATGTAAATAGAAAAAATTAATCTGAGGATTACTGAAAGCCGAGATTAGATCGATAGTTAGCTACAATCGTTTCTCATTCTTTTACAGAAACTTTCAGCTTCTTGAGACAAAGACAACTCCGACATTCATCTGTCAAGTTAAAGACGTTAATCCAGTGGTCATACACACTACACGCCATTTTATGACGGACCACATTAATCTTTAATTAGCTTCTCATTCAATTAGGCTAACGGAAAAGACGTACAAATACGAGATTTTTGTTTGTAACGTGAAGTTGATTAATTCCCCTCCCCATTCAACAAGTGAAAAGTGAGCGAAGTCCATAGAAGTCGCTTTGCTCGCACAGCACAGAATTCCTTTGCATAATTAATTATTAAACTTCCAAGTCGCTGGAAGTTTCAGAGACATCGCGGTAATCTTCTGTATCACATCGTCAATACGTAACTGATTTCAGGCACTTAAGTAGATTTTAAAGCAAATTATCAATGACAGCGTCATTGGAAAAGAGTTCACTCAACTAAAAACACAACAATAATGCTCACTAGAAGAACACAGGCCACGCAACAATGTTCAGCCGCATCCTCATTGCTGTGAGTCGTGACAGGATATAACCCTGCAGATATTATGCCAAGTTGTAATATATTTCATAAACAGGAGAGTTTAAGGAAATTTCTTTACATTCCACTCCCTTCGTGGACATTTTATATATATTTAGTAAAAAGTAAAAGTAAAGTTTGTCCCACTATACGCCATGTAGGCGCTTGGGGTGAGAGGAGGTATAGCTCCTCTCTTCCTTGACCTCGGCACTAGATGGGGGTGAGTGGTCAGCATCACGCCCCGGCCGGCTTTACCCCCGGGAAAGGCCCCGGTACCCATTGGAAAGGAGGCTGGGTGGGCCCCAGAGCCGGTCTCGACATATATATTTAGTTGGGAACCATTTTCTGAGACGTTTAAATCGTATCCAAAGCCCACAGAAAATACGAAATTTCTTTACTTATTACCATAACGCCGAAGGAAACTTGGTCAACCAAAATCAGTCTATCAGTATCAAAGAAAGATTTTTATTGTTATTTTATCATTATTGGTGTTATTGTTATTATCACTACAATACAATTACCGCTATCATTACTTGTATTTAGGTTTTCGCGACTGAATTTCAATGCAATTCGTTTTCGATAATAAGCAATACCTCAAATGTTGACAGTTATCTGTTTCTTGAAATACTTCAGTTACCACCATCACGGTGGATATGCTGGTTGGACGTTTTTGAAGCCTTATATAAGGGTCACCTGCCTGCTCTTACTTGGATTCGAAATAAGAACAACCAACATACTCACCCTGAAGATGGACAGTGCAATATTTGCCGAAACGTCGTGTGACTTTCAACATTCAACCAGGCTCATCACCGAAAGCCTGACCGGTTCCGAGTTGTAGAGTCAAAGTAACCCGCAATGTTATAAAAAGAGCAGCATCTGAAAGTCATCGTCTTTCGTCTGCACTATAGGCTACTATCTTTGTTGCGTTTTGCTGACAAGGATACAATCTCCGTCTTCGCAGTTGACGTGTCCTTTGTACTCAGGTACGTACGGCCTCAGAACATCCTTCATAAGGATCTGAAAGCACAGCTCCTCCTTCGGACACAGCTTCTTCAGGATGGTGCCTTGTTCAGGTCCTGCCTTGAAGTTTCCTGCAACAAAATGCAAAGTCATCGTGAAACAATGTTAAAAGTTACATCCCAACCAAGGCGAATGAACAGCTGTTGCGATAAATGGCCACATACTGACATCAGCGCTCTCATGTATGAAACCACTGGCCCTTGGAGGAGAATACTTAAACAGGTCTCAGGGTTGCCTCTACCGTTCTGCGGTCAAGTCCATTGACCACTTTATGGGATTCAGACCGCAGTTAGCTCAGTCGCCAACTGCAACTCTGGTAAGACTGTTGATTTTAGAACGGAACGATATTTTATCGCAAATACAGATTATAAATCATTCCAGATAAATGTAGTCTACATCCAGGCCCTTACCATTTCTTTCACAGGTAAAATTCAACATTGTCACTTTCATTATTTAAAACGTGCTAACCAATCTTTTTGTCAAAAATCAGTATCAGCCTTTGCTACTCAAACCTCAGTACCGCAGCCTACTTTTCTAAATGATCACAGATTAACATAATTGTCATTCTTTCCACTACTTAATGTACACCATCACTAAAGAAAGTCTGTCACTCAGCTGTGTGCACTGCAGCTAATCTGATATCCACTAGTACTGACTTGAAGGATTTCTAGGACTCCAAAGTGACCTAACCCCCTCAGGACTGCCGAACAAAATTCTGCACTCATTTCTCATATTGCCGCAAGCATATTTACGATAACACTTTATTGCATTACTATAACAATTTATTAAAAACGCTACACAATTAGACCTCCTTTTCAGATTCACAAGTTTGTCAATACTCTTCCTTAGCCAACTTACGAGTCATTAGTCAGATATTTACAATGCTTTTGGTTAGGTAATCTTTATACAGTGCCGTGACAGTACCTTAAAATTCGGCCACGACCGCTTCCTTCCACATCCTTTCCAATTCAGTATTCATTATCCTCTAATTCGAAGCTATAAACCCTGAGCTACTGAAAAAGCATCGTTAATGAAATTATAAGTAAATATAAAAATTCTCTTCTTGACAATCGCATTCATCCCTCTCTGTTCATCAATAGGACACAAACTAGTTACTGGTTTGGCGTTCTGCTTTAAACCTTTGAATCGGAATCTCGTCTAAATATTATTAAGAACACAGTCCGTACCTCAATGAAAACACACCACGCCTACATTACAAAGGTAAATTGGCCAACGCTGTTTGGGTAAATATCTGCTTAAGCCACGAATCATACAAATGTCCAAGTTCCATAATATTTCAATAATTCTTAAATAACTGATTCCCATTATTATATTTAAGGCTAGTTGTATGAAAGATATACGAATCAAAAATAAAGGGAACGCCGAAGAAGGAGGTCGCTTCTGCGATGTTTAGATTTGTGAGACGGTAAAAAGGTGTACTTGAGGCTATGAATTCTGAATTACTTCCTACTAAGTATCGACAGAGATATTTATTATATAATCTTAAATACCATGTTCTTTGGTGCATATGGAAACATTAAGTCAAAATGATCCGAAAACAAAATAGTCTGATTATATAAACCCCTGTTTATTCAGTTACCTTTATCCATGTTTCGGTAAAGGCGTGGTAATTACCTTGATGGCCTGCAAGCTGAACCCACGGATACCTTTGCTTCTTGTACGTCTGAAAGAACGGCGTCCATTGGACAATATTTCGTAGTTTCCGCCAACCAGAAGGCTGAAAATAAGATATAACATTTCTATTAGAATTTTTGAAAATATCAATAGCTTTAACATCAGATCCAACTCGATGAAATACTTGACGCTGCCTCTTCAGCGCCGAGAAAATCTCAGATTTCATAAAATTAAATAGAATTTTTCCTTCGATTTCATAATTGGTTTCCATAATTCAATTACCTCTATGCTTACAAATTCTTGCCATGATTGCTGTAATTTAGATAAATTATAATAAATTGTCTGATTGGATGTTATCCTAAAACATCACAACTCTAACCCGTAATTTTCGCTGAGTTACGGACTTCCAAACAGACAAAATGATTGTTCTTGTTCCTGTCAAATAGAATTTAATATTTCATGTGTTCAAATCTGTTCTATTTTTCATATCTGCTTAGTTCATACCAAGTTTCACGCGTTACTCACGTATAAAAGGGCATGCAAGAATAAGTAAACACGTACAAGGAACAGGAGTTAATCAAAAAGCAAGTAGCTCATGAATAAATGGGGTAAATCATAAATCAAATATTAAATTTCGTGTAAAAAATCGAATTAGTCTTGTTCCAAAATAAAGACGTATCTGTGTACCTTGATATTCGTCTTCAGAACGTGAAGCCTTAATCCAGTCCCTGCCTGCTCACAATTTGGACTGAACTTTCCTGTCTGACGACGTCTTAGAATACACACCATCATGTATAAGGCACTATATCGCATCACTGCACTTTACGTACAAAAAATCACAATTTATTTTCCTCACGTTTAAAAACACTCCTTCACAACACACAACACTATACACTTATCGCAAATAAAATCCACTATCCTATATGATTACTCAGATATTTTTGAGGGATGCTGTATAATTAAATGTATATCTAATACGGCCTTCTAAAACATTTTAAAGTCTTCTAAGTTTTCAGAGGACGCCGTCGAATTTGCTCACGACAACCACTTCCCTCCTGTTCAGCTGTGCACTTGCTTATAAGAGACGTTCAACCACTCTCTCTCTTCCTCGTTGAATTCCTACGTCAATGGTTAATCCACCAATAAAGAAATCCTGCAAATGATACACCGTATGACGTAATAAACCATTTCTGGGACATGCAGTTTCAGAATTCACCCGCATTACATCAGACAGTTTGCAAATGAGCTGTCCTGTATGACTCCCCTAATCAATGACAAAAATCCAATTATGAAGGAATATGCAGATTATTTCAAACTTTCACGGTGTTTCAGTTGTAATGCGGATCCTACATCAGCAACACGAAAAATACATACTGAGTGCAAGCCACCCACATATGATATCCACATTAAAAATAACTTTTTTTACAAACGAATGGAATTCTCAATCACGAAATTCATAATTTCAATATTATTTTCTGTTTCCACTGAATATTAGTACGAATTTTAGATAGCATAGAAACACTTCAGAGACAGAATTAATTAACGACAGAAACCTCTTCGTCCATATTCGATTACTGAAAAGCTGAGATAAAGATAATACGTGGCAAGACAGAGAGAGAGAATTTGGATACTGAAAGTCTCTAGTGTCGCCTGTAAGGGCTCTCTGTGTGATACCTGTGATTTTGTAATTAAATTCCAGGTCCTACACTGCACCAAACAACATCAACTGACAACTCAATAAATAAATACTCCACTTTGCAGAGATCTGAAGTTGTGTTAAATCAAGAATATCATAAATGTAACTCCTATTCGCTGTTTCAAGATTCGAGATGAGACGTATGTCGTTCGCCGAAACCTGTCTGACGCACTCGGTCCTCCATCACACGTAATTATACGGGACACACTGTTTCAAGAAGCACTACTGAAATACCTGTTCATCCACCTACAAGGACGGTAGGATTTTTCTGACGTCAGCACGAACGCCGTGATTCGCTGCGAAAACATGTGTGATCCTAAACATGTAAGGCTACATTCTAAATTACAGTGCACACACAGAAATCTGGAAACAGATCGGAAAGGAGTAAACAGATGGAGACGCTAGTCTGTGAGACCAGACAAGTTCAAAGTTGCTTCTGAGTTGTTATTTCGTAACATAAGTCTAAAGGATTGTACCTACGGTGCGTTACTTACAACATTGCTGTTCTTGTGGACTTGACAGCTTCTTCTATCCCACCTGAAGATGGGATTAAAACAAGCTCCCGAAACGTAGCGGTATTTTTTCAAAATACTGGACGATGACAGCAATGATGAATTGTTATTTTGTGTGTGACTATCATCATTGATCTTAATCCGTTAAAAGCACGGTGTTTGGAAAATTAGTCCCAGTTCCTTCTTCATTTAACCAGGTACGAAAAAGTCCTCAGTCTATTGACGTCCTTGGTCAAATTCGTATCAGTTCAGCGTCCATCTCAACCGAGGGACCCAAAATAACAACAGTTTCTTCTCATCCGGTTACGTGAAGACAGAAATACAACCAAATTTCGAAACGTGTGGTTTTAATACACAAAGAACGGAGAAATCCCAAAATGAAATATCCGTGCACATTGTGTCGAACTGATTTCCGAAAACTTTCAAATGTCATCAGTCTGGGAAAGATAAACATTCCTCGCGCTCTGTGCATGACTGACGTCAGAATGGCTAAGGAAGAGGATGTGGATTACCTCAGGTACTTTCTCGGGAGATAAGGCGGCTAAAACCACAACTGGAACAGACATCCTTGAAATATGAAGAAAAAAAAAGTATATCCAGCCACAACATAAACAACACTTAATTCGCTGACTTCCGACAGTGAAACCAATAACAAACACAAATAAAAATATTATTAATAACAAAATTAGGGATGCATTAAATTTTGAAACGAAATTCAGTTCAGGATATTTTTATCTTCCTGTGTCCTGTAAAACAAAACAGAGTAATGTAATATAAGCGAACTTAATATTCACTGAAGCAAATTTGGTACGCAGAAACGGTACGATACAGCAATACAAAGTAGCACAGCTTTTAAATACAGCTTTGCGCACTGAATGCGATATTCGCCTGTATTTATCGCTGTATCGTACCTCTACCGAATACCGCGTTGGTTTGACAGAACCTTGATCTGAAACAGTGAACACACATAAATAATCCCGTAAGACCCAAAATCAGGAAATGAACACAAACCAACCCTTGATCATGAGCCTACATATACTTTTATGGGTATGCTGAAGCCTTTAGAGACTATAACCACGTGCATTACATCCCTACTTTGCTACTTCGAACAATCCCATAAAAATAAATTGTATTTTATTTTTTAAAGAACTCTCACGAACAGCACATGTTCTAATGCATTATTCATGCCCTTATCGTCATGGTTTTGGCAACAGATAGTAGGTCTACACAGTTTTCTTCTGTTCGGGCATTATGGCTTGCCATGAGGCATTGGTTCTGGTTCGTGAAACACTGAAAAATAATTCACTACCACACGAGAGGTCGGATCTAGTTAGGCTGGGCTTTCAGATCAATTTAAGTTACGGTTCAACTATAGTAACTTCGAAAAATGTGTATATACAGGGTGAGCAGAAAAAAACTTTACATTTTAAAAATAACACAGAGAACAAACACGGGGTGCTTTGAGCTTCACACCCACTCCAATCGATTAAGAAACTCTTAAAGTTTTTTTAATGACACGGCTGATTGTTGTTATTGCTTGCCTCCGCTGGATTATCATTTTGAAGGTGTAAAGTTTTTTTGTGCTCACCCTGTATACAAACGTAAAAGTTATTACATGATAAATAAATTTCCAAGTAAGCGTTACGTCATAATAGGCTGATTGTTGTTATTGCTTGCCTCCGTTGGATAACATCAATTTTGAAAATGGTCACCCCCACAACAGAGGAGAGAGTGAAATCTGCAGATAGCGAAGAAATATTCTGTAGCAGCTATACAACGTGAATTTCGCAAACAATTTCACATGGAACCACCCAGACAAGTATCCATTTACGCCTCGTACAGACAGTCCATCACCAGGGACACTGCACAAAGTCCGGGACGAGCTAAATTATCGTATCGGCATCTGCAGTGTGAAGTCCTAAGTAAGCAAAATTTGTTTTCTGTGTCATTTTGAAGGTGCAAAGTTTTTTTGTGCTCGCCCTGTATACAAACGTAAAAGTTATTACATGATAAATAAATTTCCAAGTAAGCGTTACGTCATAATATAATAAATAATCCGAATTAGTCTTCTCACACACACACCCTAAGACCTCAGTAGGTAAGGAAAATTAACTACATTCCCCATAAGCTCTATCTAGTGGGCCCAACTGTGTAGGAACCTGAAGACGGAGATAGAGTCCCATCTCCGAAACGTCGTTTTACGTTTTATATTTACTAGACGATGGATAATATCCAAGAAAATTTTTATTCAATTGACTACATTCCCCATTTTTATTCTGTTTCATGGTCAGATCCTTTGCAGAAAAGGACAAAAGTCCTGTTGTAATGTTAGGACGCTGGCCTTGTAATCCTGGGGTCTCGGGTTCGATTCCCGGCGGTGCCCGAATTTATAACTTGTGTTGGGCAAGGCCGTGGTCTAGGCAACACGGAGTTTTCCTCCGGGGGCTTCCCCGGTTTCTCCGTGGCATCCCAACAATTACTCCATTCACACACAGAAGAAGGCAATGGCAAACCACTTCTGGATCATCTGCCAAGAACGTATATGAACAGGTCCCAGTCCGAGAAAAGGATGGAAGGATCCTGTTCATATGGACCTGTCGTCAGACAGAACACTAAATAAATAAAAACAAAAGAGAGATTCAACAGTCTGTAAATAGGTGTTGTTCCTGCATTCTATGTAAAATGTATACTTGACGTCATATTTCAACATCATGTGACTACGAAATGTAGGATAATTGAACGAGTTTTGTGCATCTCAAATTCCACGAAAATTACATGTTACACATACTTTTACGTCAGAGAAATAATATAAAAATTGTTTGAAATGTTAATGAATTTCGTAGAACTGACAGGCCATTACGACATTTCCTGAATCCAGAATCCGGAACGAACATA